ACGCACCCTGAGTCCCGCGCCACGCCCCGCACCCGAAGCCCCCCCACCCCTGCCCGGCACAGGTGCTCTCAAGCAGGGGGCTGCTGGGCTGAGCTGCAGGCGGTGGAGTCAGGCCCGGGAGTCAACCATGGTCCCCACGGAGCCCATGGCCCAGGACGCGAAGGACCAGCGCTCCTGGAACCTTAGAATTTGGCCGAGTCCCTGCTGAAATCCAGCTGCCCACTCATCGGCTGCTAGCCTGGGTCACGTTAATCTCTCAGTGTCTGTTTCCTTTGAGCTGCACACAGAATAAATGGCTCCTTGGTGTATCTGTGGACTCCCCTGAGTGGAGACATAACAAAGTTCTTACCCTGCGCTGCTCAGTACATGCAATCTCTTGCAACCCTCTTCTTTTAGGTTAAAACGCATCCTTGGAGAAATGACCTGACTTTAGTGTCCCCACCCCAATAACAGGGATTGAACTCAGGTCCTTGCACTTTGCCAGGCAGGGTATGGCCCTGCCACTGAGCTACGGCCCAATGCCCTGAGTCTGAAAACATCCATTTCTATTCTAAGTGATCCTGGACCCAGTTACCGCGAGCCAGCCTCCCTGGGCCCTGTTGAGACAAGGCTGGAAGACAAGAGTTGTCCTCAGGGTATGGTCAGACAGGTGCCCACGGCTTGCAGAGAGCAGCAGGGCCCAGTGTAGCCTTCACTGCCTGGACTGGCTCTAGAAGTGGGGTCAGAAACCACGCTGGGGCTGAGGCCAGCTTGGTCCCCAGCCTGGAATGGGAAGGAAATGAGGTCCAGAACAGCTCAGACAAGAGAGGGGTGTGCTGGCCCTTCTCAGTGTCCCTGCATCTGAGGGAGAACTTAAGGGGCCATCTACCTCATTTTAGATGTGAGGAAAATGAGTCGCAGAGAGACTGCAAGGTCACTCAAACTTTTCAAAAGCCAATTCTCCTGGGCCCTACCCCAGCTCTTCTTGAAGGCTTCTCCAACCCTGAGCACATAATGGTAAACCTTTGGCACAAGCTGCCACTTTCTCCAAGAGATGACTTTTCCTGTAACCTGGACATCACCCACTTCCCCGCTACTCCTGATTTTTTCCACAGTCCCTACCCTCCTCGCCACACACCTCCTTCACTCTGAGGCATCTAGCCTCCATCACCAGGAAACCTCCCTGCAGCAATCTTGCCAACTCTCTGGCACCCTGAACCCCTCTGGCTGCCCTGGACCCTTCCCCTCAATCTAGCCATGTGCTCCAGTTTAGCAAAGTGCTTGCAAGACCTGAGTTTCCACTCCAATTACCATCTTGTCTCCCTTCTTTCTCATCCACATTTGTTTTTCATTCAAAATTATATTAAATTATTTAATGACCAAGGAAGATATTCTTTCCTTTTTTTTTGGGGGGGGTACCAGGGATTGAACAGTTATATAAGTGCATAAGCATGTCAGTTTTAGTAACTAAGTTCTGAGTGGTAGGAGCGCGAGTGTCTTTAGTCTTTAGATTTTTCATTTCCCAAACTTTACAAACATATAGCACTTACGACCAAGAAAAATGTAATCTTGAGAAAAACATATTAATAAATAATTTTTACCTCAAGTAGATTTGAAGTAGCAATCTTAATGCTAGGATAGATTTTGTCCACACAAGCCTATAAAAATTATTATCATCTTTCCTTTTTAATCCAGGTTAAAATGGATACAGTGGCTGTTGTCACAGTTTTCATGACAATTTTGTGCTGATGGAGCCCAAATTCTGATTCCTCATGCTGATGTCACTGCATGGCGTCCAGCTCACACCCAAAACCCTCAGAATAGAGCTCTTGGTCTGCCTTGAGACCTGCTCCTGCTTTATCCCTTCACCCACTCACCTGAGCCAGAAATCCAGGTGCCCGTGTCAGTTCCAACATCCTCAGAGTCCCTTTGGCCACAGTGCTTCTGCTAAGGTCACTTCCCAAATATTGCTCAAGTCTTTTCTCTCTTATCTACACTGCCCCCTGGTTCTGGTCAGTGCCACCTCTCACCAGACAGTGTCCCGGAGTCCTCCTTCCTCTCCCTGCCTCTGACTACCTGGGAAGACCTGACCACCTGCGCTCCTGTGCCTTCCCCACCCTCGATCCACAGCCTGGTATACTTTTCACGGTATGTTTACTGTCCAGATGATCTTATGCACATTGTACCCTGACCCATCTCTCTCTTCCAGTAGAATGCAAGCCCCTCAAGTCAGGAACCTCCCTGTCCAGGTCACTGTTCCAGTCCCATAATCTGTACTATCACCTGGCACATAATAAAGTGTTCTCAAGGTATTTGTTCAGTTAGCAAATGCTCTAGATCATGATTGTTCAATACAAATAATGTGAGCCATAGATGTAAGCCACATATACATTTAAATTTTGTTAGTTGCATTTCAAGAGCTTAACGGACCAGTGCCACTACAAGCTTCTGTATGAGACATCACGCTCCAGACTTCCTCCTCTTGTCCTGCAGCCCAGGCTGCAATCACACTGCTGCTCTAAGTATGCATGTGATCGTTAAATCACTAATCCATTTATTTGCTCAACAGACATCTTCCTCCAGTCAATTGTGTTTCTAGTGTTGTTCTCTAAGTGGACACACAAAGACGAATCACCTACTACTCAAGAAAACCACAGTTTAGTGTGAGAGAAAGACATGTAAATAATCACAATACAATGCTGTTTTTAAAAAAAATATGTACAAATTGCTGCAGGAACCAACTGTCTAAGGGAGCCAAGCAAAGCTTCAAAGAGTTGGCGAGGTCTTAGATCAGCCTTGAAGAATAAGCAGAAGGTGACCAAGCAGACCAGGCGGAAATGAGGCTTTCCGGGCAATGGAGAAAGAAGGCAGAAATGTGCACAAGAGGAAGTCACTTCGTGAACTGTAAGTTGTTTGCTCGGGCTGGAAATAATGACATGTTGTGCAAGGGTGGGGTGATGGGTGGTGAAGAGGAGAGGTCATCAGGGACTTCATCCTAGAGAACCTAAGGGCTGGAAGCCATTTAAAATTTCTAAGTAAAAGAAAGGGCAAGCCAGGCGTGGTGGCACATGCCTGTAATGCCAGCACTCTGCAGGCTGAGGCAGGAGGATTGCTGTGAGTTCCAGACCAGCCTGGGCTACATAGTGAGTTCCAGGTCAGTCTCAACTACATACATTTTGAGACCCTGTCTCAAAAAACAGGAAAAAATAAATAAAGAAAGAAAGGGAAGATTGGCCAGAGGGGCAATTTTAAAGCTGTCTTTAAAGCAGTTGCTGTGGACATTGGCTTAGAAGGAAGACAGGCAGGAGGCAGGAAAACCAATTAAGTTTACTCTAATTGTCCTGGCAAGAGATGAGAGGACCTGAAACCAAGTGATGCCAGTGAGAGGAAAGAGGAAAGGACAGGTGTGAACGAAGATCTGGGGAGGAACTGGAGAAAGTGGAGAGGAGATTGCTTAAGATGAGCTTGGCTTTGGATGTACTGGATTTCCAGGACCCATGGGGCTGCCCAAGGGAGCTGTCCCCAGGCATCTGGGAGTACTGGTCTGTGGCTCCAAGAGTTACATAGGCTGCAAGTACAAGTCTTGGGGTCATCAGCATATAGGCAGGGGTTTAAATCACAGAGAATGGCAAACAGGAGCCCCTTGAGAGGGGCCGGTGAGCACTGCCACCAGCAGCTCAGCCTGCAGACATCCAAACTCAGTGGTGGCAGCTTCCAGCATCCTAGCCCTGAGAGCTACTTCCTTAGAGCCACCAGTACCCAACAGCCTGGTGAAGCTTTAAGGTATTGTGATGGACATATTGGAGCTATGTGGCTTTTGTTTTCAATTATTTCTCTTAATGCTGAAAATAGAAGTAGGCAGAACACATGTAGTTGGGAAGGTTTCATAGGGATCCTTTGTGGTTTGTGGAAGGAGAAGGAGGAAGATGAGGGGACGAACATGGTTGGATTCTGCAACACTAAAGTAGTCTGTATTTTAAAAAGTAATTCGGTCTTGGGCCGGGGATTTGGTTCAGTGGTTCCGGCACCTGCCTTGCAAGCACAAGGACCTGATTTTGATCCCCAGTACCAAAAAAAAAAAAAAAAAAAATGCATGATACCATAGCTGTCCAGCAGCAAAGTACTGTGTGTGGCACTGTGTATTAGCAGTGGTGTGTGGGGACCTAGGGTATAGTTTGGTGGTTACAAAAAGAGAGAGAGAAAGAAAAGAAAATGGTGGACAACAAATCTAAGATCTGTCAGTTGCCTCATTTCTTAGGAGGTCTGGGGTCCTGCTTAATTATTAAATTTGAAGGCTGGGGATTTAGCTCAGTGGTTCTGCCACCTGCCTCACAAGTGCAAGGTCCTGAGTCTGATCCCTGGTACCAAAATAAAATAAAATACATTCAGACAATGAGATTTTATAGAGTATTAGTCTCACAAGCCATGAAGTTAGTATTATAGTTGTAACCAACCATCAGATTTGACTCCAAGTTTCATGAAAGCAAAAGCAGAAGAACAGAGAGCTGCACGCTGCCCTTGCCAGTTTTTGTAGCATCAATTCTGTAACTGACTACCAAGGGAGCAAATTGAAGGACCCCTCACCCGGCCTATTCCTGCCATGGAGGGAAAGCGAAAGCAGAACTTTGAGGAGCTTGGTTAGTGGGACACAGTGTTGCTGGGTAGGGACCAAGGTATCACAGACAAACTCTTCTGCAAAGTAAAGTCAGCCCATCCCTCACTCCACAGTCCCCCGGCCCAGGACCTTCTCCCTCTTCCGCTCTTCATGTGCTTCAGTTTCCTACTTCTTATCCTTCTGATAAAAGTGGTGTTGGTGTTCTCATGGGAGGCCGCACACTTGGCATCTGCCTCGCTTGTGCTCCAGCCTCAGAAGGGTGGAGATCTTGCCTGTCTTGCCTGTGGTCTCCCCAGTACCTGGAACCTGGCCCCTCACACAGTAGTTGCTCAGTCCATCTGAGGAAGTGCAGAGTACGGGGAGGAAAAGAGAGCAGTGTGCAAGAGGCAGATTGATCTGTGAGGTGTACAGTAGCAAAACAGAGGCCAGGCACAGGTCACTAGGATCTGTCTGGAGATGGGAACAGGATGGGGCCAACCCCAACCCCCCAAAAGAGACTACTGGAAAAATTTCTTGGTACAACATGTCCCTGACTCTTCTCCGTAAGCATGATTGGGCTGCAATTATTAACATGGATTTTAGAGGGGAGTAGCTGTGCTGCGTGTCCAGCTGCTTAACACAGTACCAGGCATAGTACAGATGCTCAATTTTTTAATTTAATTAATTAATTTATTTATTTTTGTACCAGGGGTTGAACTCAGGACCTTGTGCTGCCAGACAGACACAGCACTGCTGAGCTACCTCCCCGGCCCCAGGTGTTCAATTAATATTGACAGAAGGGGCAAAGGAGCGAAGAAGGAAAGGAGCAGTGGGGAAAGGAGGGAAAGAAAATAGAGAGATAGCAGGAGGGAAAAAATAAGAAGAAAACACAAAGGAAGGTAAATTTGACATATAAAATGTTTTTTCAATGATCTTGTGCAGTTGTCAGAGAAGGTCTCCAGTTTTGTCCTGGGTTTCCTAGCAACCAAAGCAAGAAGGGAAACATAACATTATAACATGGTGTCTATAAGATAAAAAACAGAGCAGTTGCTCAAAAAAAAACGAAAACCTCTCCTCTGGCTCTTATTAAAAGGAACCCTGTATCACAGAGCCTTCCCTTTCAGCATTGCTACAGTAAATACAGAATCTAGCTCTGAACAGTTGTTGCCCCAGGACATTCTTAGTGCAAGGGACTGGCAGTCTGCCTAGTGCCACTGTGGAACCTCAAGTGGTCAGAAAAATGGAAGGTCAGTCTTGGTGCAGTGATAGATTTGACAGTACCTGGGGACAGGGATGGAAGACACCTTCCTGGAACCCACTCTCACTGCAGTCCAAGCCAGGGCAGACATCACTGATCACAGAACTCTTTCCTGCTGAGGTGGCACCTCCTCCTGCTTCCCCATGGGGCACACTGGGGAAGGTTCCTTCCTATCTTCCTCAGAAGATAGGTTCCTTCTCTTGTGCAAGCTCGGCACTGTCTGCGAGCTCTGCTCTGAGGAGACCACTGACTGTCCTTCCTGGGGCCCAGCTACCACACCATGAGGAAGCCCCTCAGCCGTGTGCAGAGGCCACATGGAGAAGAACCACAGCTCTGGCTGGAGGCCACAGGGAAGATCCCAGCCCGCAGCCAGCCAACAATTGGCCACTGGCAAGGCCACTTGAACCTTCCAGCCAGCCAAAGACTAACCTCACATGATGCAGAAAAACTTTATAATCCCAAGAATCATGAGAAATGCTATAGTTTTGGTGTTTTACGCCACTGCATTTCAGGGTCGTTTTGTATGTAACAGTGGATAACTGAAAAATAGAACGTGACACAGAGAACACCTAAACTCAAGGCACCAAAATCCTTCCCAAAGGAGCCAAAGGGCAGTTCCAAACTGGAATCAACAATAGAAAGAATAAAAGAGGGCTTTGGGCTGTCGTTCTGGAGCAATGCTGAGAAGACTGAGCCCTTGGCTTGGGCCTGCAGGAACATGCAAGAACTTGGAGTGAAGTCTTCACGTTCCGGATTCATCTGAAATCTGCTCCTTAAAGAAAGTGGGTGACTCCCCAGAGAGTGTTGGAAGGGTGACACAGAGCCTGGAAACGGAGCAGACCCGAGTTCGAAATACTAAAGAGCTCTACCCCTTGGAACAAAACTCCCCAGACTACTGAGTGGGGGTCTCTAACCTGCCTGCTTGTCCAGCACCCTAAAAAGATAGGTTCTATCAAAAGATAGAACCCCACCTACGTACATAGAAGTCTCCACGATTCTGTCAGCCAGGTGAGAGGGCCTAACAGCAGCCATCACATCTGCAAAGGGACTTGTAAATGCTACTCATCTTCATTACCATAGACCTTTACTCATAAATATAAGCAGGAAGCCAAGGATTGCCAAAAGTATTAGAAAAATGGGCAGCCTGAAAGAAGTCCAAACTGAACCAATAAAAAAACTGAACTCAAAGCTGGGCATGGTGGCACACGCTTGTAATCCCAGCACTCGGGAGGCTGAGGCAGAAGTTCAAGACCAGCCTGGGCTGCATAGTGAGTTCCAGGTCAGTCTCAACTACATAGTGAGACCCTGTCTCAAAAAAAAAAAAAAAAAAAAAAAAAAAAAAGGAACACAACTTAGAAAAGAAGGGAGTACTTCATAAAAATTGTAATTACTATCCTCAGAAAATTCAAGATGTTGCAGATGAGAACTGGGAAGAGGAGGCTATGAATAAAAAGAACAAAACACAGAAAAGTTTCTTGGAAGTTAAAGACAGGGTTGCTATAGAAAACATTCAACAAATGGGCTGAATAATAAAGTCAACATAGCTGAAGGCCAGGTGGTTGATCTCGGATGGAGAAATCTCAGAATGTAGAGGAAGAAAAACTAAGAGGTAGAAAATATAAAAGAGCAGGAATGAGAGACCCAGAGATCTAGCACCTGTTTAATTAAGAAAATAAATCTAAGAAGTATCAGAACAATATTTAAGAAAATACATGGATCTTTAAGACTAAATAAGGGCCAGAGATTTAGCTCAGTGGTTCTGCTGCCTGCCTCACAAGAGCAAGGTTGATCCCTGGTACCAAAAAAAAAAAAAAGGGGGGGTCCACAAAATTAAAGAAAAAAGAATAAATTTCCCTTACTAGCATTTCCAATTTCTCTTACCCTTGTCTTTTTGTTATGATTTGCCTCCTCTGGTAACCTGTCAGCTCCAGGAGGGGCTAGATTTTTTATCTGATTTTCTCATTAATGAAGATCAGCACTTTAAATAGTGCCTGACACCAAGTAGGGATCAGTAAAAATTCATCGAATTGTAGTTACCAAGAAAAAGAACTT